TGATACTCAATAATAATAATGTGAACAAAAACTTTATAATTATTGTCTCATATTTTATTTAAGGAGTACGAATCCTTTATATAAATATCTCTTTTAGTTAATAAAAAATGTCACTAAAACTAATTAAGACTTATATCAGCATTATTATATTATAACATATAATTTAAGTTCCTGGATGACCTTAAAATTGTTGAATTTGATTTTTTATTTCAAATGAATTTTGTTCTTCCCATCATTTCTCTACCAAACCATACCTGCCTTACAATTAGTCACAAAATGTTGAGGCAATTAATAAATACCTATTATAGACATACAATCGCTGGTCTGGTTTTTCCGTGTCTATCACTGCTTTCAACATTCACTAAAACTAATTAAGACTTATATCAGCATTATTATATTATAACATATAATTTAAGTTCCTGGATGACCTTAAAATTGTTGAATTTGATTTTTTATTTCAAATGAATTTTGTTCTTCCCATCATTATATTACACTGTATTATATATACTGTGTATTTGTTATAACTTTTTTAAATATTAATATCATTTTAATGACGTATTGTTAAGAAATGTTTTATTATGTATTTTTGCAAAACATATTAAAAGATGTGTTGTTTTTATATTAAATAGTTTTTTGTTGCGAATTCTTAATATGCAATCCTGTGATCAATCATTGAGATTGAATTCGTGAGTGTTTTGAAAATTGAATTACTTTTTCAATTTCATTGAATTTTGAAGCGATTTGTACAGATGTTGCAAAATACTTACAAATACTTACAAATGCTTACAAATACTTACATCTTTTCTATGAAATTAATTTTTAAACACTTTGAAGAATACATTTTGAAAGCAAAACTAAATTAGAAGATATTTTATATATTGGCATCACTTTAAAGGCATTACAAAAACAATTGTGACGTTTGGAAAATAATAAAAATAAATTACTATTTTTATGAAAACACCTTTGATAACAAAATTAAAATATTAAATAACAAAAATTCCAAAAAATTATTTTATTGATTAAGATTTAACGACTTTTTTGGCAATATTTACAATCAATTTACTAATATACCTTTTTCAAAAACAAAATTATTTTAATAAATTTTAATTGCAAAACATAAAAAATTGTTAAAAATCAATTGGCAATATTATTATATAATGCAACTTAAATCTATAAAAGTTAGATTTGTAATAAATATTAGTTTATTTAAACATAGCTATTGAACTGAAGTTTTAGTTCAAGTTTGAATTATTATGCTTGATATATGATATCAATCATAAATAATAATAATTGTTACTGTATTATTAAATTATAATTTAGTTAAAAAGACTTGGTAATTTTTAGAATTAATGAATAAAAGATATATTATTTTCAAAATTACCCACAATTCGAGACTACAATTTTAAAACAATAAGTTATTCTGTATAGTATTATAAGTAAAATATATAGTAACTTAACACTGTATGCTATCCCATTGTATAATACAATTAACTAAATGTTAAGTAATTCTTGATATTAAGTCAAAGGGAATTAAGATATTATTGCAATCATAATAATAACAAATAAAAGACATTTGAAAACAATACAAAACAAAACATATTAATCGGAATTTATAATCAAATTAAGGCATCAAATCACACGAAAGGCTGTCAATGTTATAAATGTTGATTTGATTAACTCATATAAAGTGGGTTTAAGTAAATTTCCCTAATCTTTGACGAGATCTTTCATCTTATATTCAAATCTATAATAAATTTCATACAAATAATCGTTTTGAAGAAACAATCAATGTTTTCAATGATTGATTACTTCAATGAAACAAACTTTATTTAAGACAAACATTAATTTGAAAAAACTTATTATAAATAAGATTAAGATATAATATAAAACATATATTAAAAGTGATTTTCAATTTATTAATGGATCCTTGGCTCGGGATTAATATAGTACCAAGATTGAATTGAAATTAATTAATCGTAAAAATCAATTACTTTTGTCTACTTATGGCAATCATTTGAATGATGCAAATCATTGACATTGAATTTGAACAAGTGTGTTTTCCAACTATATTCACAAATATATTCAATTGCTGAACATTTCAATGAATGTTCATCACTTCACATTCACATTGGTTTGTAGTGTTTAATATGAATTTATAAGCAAAATATTTTACAATCATAAACTTACAGTTGAATAAAAGTGAAAATAAATATTTTGATATCATTTAGGAATTTAGCAAATTAAAAGAAATATTATCTAATATAATTTCATTATATTTACCTTCATTAATAAATTAATATATAATTATAATACAAATGTATTTTAAATGATATAATGTGATGAGAAATTACATCATAAGCATAGAATGCAATTCATATAAATTAACTCAAACTCTAATTTAAAGTCAATTCTAGCTTTTCATCGCTAATCAATCATTTCTAATAATATTTATTAATGTCTTAATATACGGCATAATTACAAAAATACAAAAAACACCAGCTATTTTATTACATATTATAAAATATAAAAAATTACAACACTTAAAATACTAATTAATGGTATAATAGAATCTATTTCGCTGGTAATAAAACACTTTTAAATAATATTGGGATTTTCCACAACATATACTACAGTATTACTAGTATTAGTCATGAATTTAATTATTAATCTAAACATAACATTAAACATTTAAATATATGTTTTGAATATGCGATTAATTTCCGGCAATTATGTTGAGCTGTATTCATAAGTGTATTCATAGGTGTATTCGTACGGTAATACCTTGGTAATACTTTTTATTAAATTAAATATTACAATCATTTCCAAAAAGATGTTTTGGGATTTCTTTTTATTGATATACTATTTGCCAAAACAATATAATAATCGCTTATTAATCATAGATATGGCGGTAAATTTACCAAAAAATCCCAAACCTATTCTCAATTAACGCTAAAAACTTTTGAAATTCTATTTATACATGAGAAAGGTACATCTATTATGATGACATTGCTTTTATATCCAGATTATCCATAGTATTGAAAATACTCATTAAAACACGCACTCAGTACTCGATGCTAATAAAATTAAACTAATCTTGCTTACATCATACAAATTGAATACTGACTATTGAGTGCGTGTTTTAGTGAGTATTTGAAATACTATGAATAATCTGGATATAAAAGCAATGTCATCACAATAGATGTACCTTTCTCATTACAGTATAAAAGTCAAAACAATTAGTGAATTATGTAAAAGATTTTCTAAAGGAATCTTTTGTTAAGTAAAATGTAAATTCATTTAAAATAAATCTTTAAATTAAAACAAATAAATTATAATTTAAGTTGTATTTATTACAATCAAATATTGTCAGAATATAAATTTAATAATAAATTATACTATTATACTAGCTAAAATATAAATAGATTTTACTTAATAATTATACAGTTAGCCTCATAATAATATTATATTATGAGTTTATATAACATTAAATCTTTTTATTATTAATTTAATATTATAAATATTTCAAATAATGTATGACACTCAAGTAAGGTGTGAGTAACATAAAAATAATTAAAAATTAAAATTCAATTCAATATCGACTAGTTTGTCATTATTATCACATTTATTAAATAAAACTTTTAGTATATTTGCTGTTACTTCACACATAATTGTCTCCAAAGTCTAAAAATTGAATAAAAAGTCAATTAATTATATAAATACTAAATACTGGGCTAAACATGTTGTTTGAGGGCTCTATAAGCCCTCCCCATTGCATACACTCAATAGACCTGAACATCGCTTCTTAATAAATAACAAAACAATATAACATTAGAAACAAATCGCTATTTATTATTAAAATATTAGAGCGTTCATTAAAATTCAAGAATAATAATAACTGGTTAAATAAGTTATAAATCCATTCAACTGCACCTATGTCAATTCAAATTCATAAAAATTGGTTTATATGCTTAAGAATTTAAGTTACTCGCCATTACAGATTATAATATAGTAATGATTATAATATGGCTTCATATTATAATTTAAAAATCAAACTTAAAATGGAATAAAAAGTTATCTAGGTAATAAAATTGAATTATATTATTAAATATAATAATAACATGAAGTAAATTAATAACAGTGTTTTACTCTAGTCTTAAATTTCTAGTTAAAGTGAATAAGATTTGACGATTCTCCAATTTTTATGAACAAACTAATATATCGGTTTTTAGGTCACAATTAGTAATAGTGTTTGATATACTGCTAAATACTATTATACTTTACTGTAGTATGTCTTCAAAACAAATTTACAAAAGCAATGAATTAATTAAATAATAAAAACAGAAACAAATCTCTTATTAAAAATGATTTTTTGTATAAAACTAAACTGAATTGAAAAATATTATGAAAACAAAACACTCTCTATTCTAATACAGTATTAATGAGATTATAAAATGAAATTTTCACATATTTTCAACAAAAACTATATTTTATGGAAATAATAATTTAATTAAAAGGTAAACAATAGTAATAAAAATGTTCACAAATATTTGTTTAATGATAATTAGGGGAAATGTGTTTAGAAAATTTCATATTAAAAAGGGAAATGAATTAAAAGCAAGTTTTCCACAACAAATCCAAAGTGCAATGAAATATAAGAAATTCGTTTTAATAACAAATCCAAATCCGTATTACAATTAAATACAAGGAAAATATGTATTAAAAACAAATTTGTATTCAATTACACAAATAATTCTGTGACTAATGATTAACGATATCTATTATAAAATATTCTGTTTTTTCACTTTATATTATCATATATTTTATTTAATAATAAACAAAAAATACTTATAAAAAAAATTTGTTATTGTTTTGATGTAAATTCCGAATAAATTAACAGATAATTTGTAATAAAAAAACAATTAAATTAAAAACAATAATCATTTAATTGAGAAAATAGTCATAAAAATAAATGACTAATACTTGCGTTAAAATCAGTATAAGAGACACAAAAAAATGATAATATTATAGTCATTAAGTTTGCAATCAATATATAATTATAACAATAATTATAGTGTACTATAAAAGTAGACAATCAACCGATGGTCGAGTGGTGGGTAAGGAGTGAAGACTATTCCTCCAGAGTCTAGTCGACGCTGACTTTGATCCAGTTGTCGATGACATCGTTGATGTGCTTATTGTTCCAATCCATACGAATGTCATCCAAATGGTTGTCGAAGTCAATCAACTGGAAGTGCAACTGACTCTTGAAGATGAACTCCTGGACCGCATTGAAGGCCTGCGAGGGGTTCTCGAAGCGATGTCCGCCACTCTTGGCCTTCCACTTCTGGTCGGACAAGTGGTAGACAGTGAGCGCCGAATCCATTTCGTTCTGATCGTCCAGTGCTTGCGCTAAACCGATGTTATTAACCATCACTACAACCGCTTCCGAGTTGTTTTCCAACACCTTTTCGCCCAATCGTTGCGCGAAGACATTGGGCTGAGAGTCGAAGAAGTATTTGTTCGCCTGATATATACCACCGATTTGTACATCACTTGACTTATAGTAATTGGATATCTGTTGGGAGACACGACAACACAGTTAAGACATGCCATCAAATCAATTGGGGGTTCATTGGTGTCAGTGTTGGCATCAATGGATCAATTGGGGGTTCATTGGTGTCAATGTTGGCATCAATGGACAGTAAAAGGCTATGCATTTCCAGACACCGGAAGTGCTGGAAGTGTTGACAGTGAGTGTGAGTGCAATGAGAGTGAGACCTGAATGAGTGCCGTCTCCAAGACGTGTGTCAATCCGTGTCCGGAATGGATGAGAGGAATGGCGTCCAAGAACTCGATGTACGTCTGGTTAGTGGAGGCCTTCTTCCTCTTAGTGGTGAGAAGTAGACCACAAACCGTCGAATGAGGATATTTGAGAGAATGCATACATATCTTCACGTACGCCCTCGTCTTCACCACCACTTCCATCGCTTCCACACTTGTGTCCAATCGAGTGATAATCAAATCAAACACTTCTTCACAATTCACTGCAATTGTCGGCAATCAATGAGTAGTCGTTTGTTTGTGTGACCAGTGTTTCTGTTCACACTTTGCCTACACTTTAGTGGCTAATGTCTACAACAAATGCATATGTTTTGTACGATTCATGACAAACCACTGTTTATGTGCTGACAGTCAATGACGTTAACGTAGGACTGGTTTTGGTGTGGAAAGTAAGCCCAGAATTAGTGCTCAAGAATTGCACACAATTTCAATTCAAACTACTATTTATGAGCTTTTTATTATATCTAAGAATTAAATTATAGTTTAACATGGTCAGTTTAATTGATAATGATTTTTGTTTTATTTGATCGCTTAAACCATTAATGTTATTAAATATAAACTAAAATGAAATTATAATTATAATTAAAATTGCATATTCTTGATTTTATCGGTAATTATAGTGTACTAGATTATTTATCGGTTATTAGATAAATTTTACAATTATAATATAATAAATTACAATATTGGATTTTAATTGATTTGGTTATACTGATTACAAAATTATAATCACTTAATGACTAAATTTACTCATATGTTTGAAATTACAATCTATTATATGTTTATATTACCCGGTAGATTTTATTCTAATAATGATTTATAAAATATTACTAAATTTTATTACAATTAATGCATAGTGTAAGTGAATCTATTAATACATTTGTAGTTGTATTTGATTTATTGGATAACAATATTTTATATTTTATAACAGAATTTTAAACAATTATAACTAAATATTTAAATTGAACATACTGTAGTCATTTAAACATATTTATGTTTCAGTAGTAACAAGGTTCAAACATATAATTAAATTTGATTGTTTGGTTAAAACTGCAAAATATAATTAATATAATTATGTTTATATTACCATCAACAAAATATAACAATAAACTTTAAATAACACATTTCTTATATTATAACCACTACTGTATTATAGCTACTCTATGAGTTACAACTTGATAATCAAGAATGTTGGATCCAAAACCAAAGTGTCCTATCTCAATGTTATAATCTCTATAAATTTTAAGGCATTTTAAAGCTATCAAATATAGTTCTCTACAAAACATATAATATTCAAAAATGTTTGGAAAATTTCATATATTAAGCATAAATTCAATGTCATTTTAATATATAATGTTTGCTATTAAATGCATTAATTAACTAAAATATTGGTAGGACATTTTTTATCGCACTTTTTACAATATCCATATCTTAACAATTTAAGGCTATAATATTTAGCTTAATTAATACTTTTAAGCAAACATTACTAGTATAACATACAATTTAATATTTAAGTAGTAAGGCTAATTCTGCAATTTTCTGATTTGTAAATATTTTTCTAAACAACAATGTAACATTATTATAATAATATTATAAGTTATAACTTAAATAAATTTAAAATGTTTAATTCATAAATTTTAAATTAAATTATTAATATTTAAATAATACTATAACTATAAAATGTAGAACTGTATATGTAGTAAATCTTTTATATATTTTAATTATAGCAATAGTTAAATATTATTAGTCAACACTTTTTCAATATCTAACTTATAATGTCTCTTGTAAGCACTGAAAACCAAAAATAAAATAAAATAAAGTTATGAAAAGTCCGATTGTTTTTTAAAACCTAAAATTATCTAAAAATCTGAGATCTTAAACAAGAGAAAAGGAGTTTCAAGACATAGGGTATTGTTTGTGAATTATTTATCGTTTGAACAGATTTTTGACTTATTTTTGAAGTTCGAGTCATAAGATTATAGCTATTGAATGAACGAAAGGAAAGACTGAGTGTTTGGGTAAAAGTGAAAAAAGATAAATCGTTGGACCAGTAGTTATGTCTAATGTATGAAAAGTGCTTTTATATTGCTATAGAAAGCGCTAAACTTTGTAATAATCTATAAAAGATTGGATTCGTTTTTAATGATAAATTAGTTATCGTTCACTTATGTCTCCTTTTCATAAGCCATGCAATCATTGATATACTTATTGTTTGTCTCTCTATTTCTTAAATCTTGATAATCGATAAAAACATTATATTATTGTTAAAAGTGTTATATTATTTTATATGTCGTATAGAATACAATATACAGTATCTAAAATAAATTAGCAACAAACAATATTAATTCTATATCATTACAATTACAAACAAATTAAAACACAACCTTTGAATGCGTTTCAATAAAAGTCGTAAAACTAAACTTTATTTGAAAAACATTTCATTCATACGAATGTCTTATAAATCTAGTAAAAATAAATGATTTAATATTAACGTTGCTTAAAAGTAGAATCTCATATTTGTAAGAAAAGGCACAAATGCACCAATTGTTCAATTGAACTTGTTAACAATTTCAACCCTAATTACACTCATTTTGGTACACCTTTTATGAGATGTTATAATCATTAGAATATTCTCAGAGAAAATATATTTGCATTTTGCAAACAATTTTTTATATAGTGATCATTGATTGAAAATAATTAAAAAACTATTTGTTATTTTTGTGTAGAAAAATCAAAGTGTTTTGTTTTCTCTGAGCAATTTTGTGGTCAATTTTCGCTGAACGTGTGGCGAACGTCTATATGTTGTTCCCAATTGAGGACTTCCAGCCGGTGATACTCGCGATGGGCCCACCGGAGTGGTCGCACCACTTCTGCTGTGAGGGTTCAATGTGTTCATTGGGTCCATACCTTCCGGTGACATCCTATCGTTGTGATGCATTTGGATTAGTTTGCGAACCTATAGGCAATTCACATGTTTTATTAAATTAGCAAACATTTTATAAAACGAATAATTGTTTACTATCATTATGTAATCTACATTATTAAGTTTATAGTATACAAGTCTTTGTAAAATTAAATAATAATCATTTCTATCATTTGTACACTTATGTAAAAATAATTTCTTTTATTGTCGACATTCTGTTCAATACTTAAATAGAAAATGTGTTTTTTAAAGAAATCACTGTTATTTCATATAAAAGTAAGATAGCACTTAAAACTTGCAATGTTTAGTACATGTGTTGTAAAGCAAACAACATTCTCTAACTGTAAGAATAACCAATGATTTCTTAATCAAATTTGTCTATAATAATCTGCACTTAAAACTTATGATTCCTGGTCTAAAACGGACTCCATGTTCAATATTTGAAATTTAAAAATTAAATATTTATAGAACAGCACATTTTATTGTAATTGTTGAACACAATTGAGTTATATTGAGAAAATAAAATATCAATGAATCCATACTTCTTCTTCATCCGCAGGGATAAACAATTTTTGTGAAAATTTTGTATTCAATCGCTTTCTCTCCTGAAAATAAAATGGTTTATATCATTTATTTAAGGTTCAAGATGTTTTTAATTTTAGATAATCTTTAATTACTCACTAATTTGAGACAAAAATATATCAAATAAGGATTATTTTTTAATTAATTAGTAAATCATTAAATAAATTAAAACAGTTACAGCATCGTGTTTTCATATAAACATTTATTGTCTAATTTAATATAAATCTATCGTTTG